CCCTCCCCCGTGTCTTACTACACCAGGATGGTTTCTCCTCCCAGCTGGCGCAGTCCATGTTGTGCTCTGGAAAGTCACCCAGGCAGCACAAGATGAACACCTCCTTCAGGGAGACAGGCTGAAATCATGATGCTTGGAGAGGTAGTGTCATTGAGCCATCTGAAATCAGGAGGCTGACACCCTGTCATGGCTCTGGCAGTGCTCCAATAAGTCAGCAGGCAGCAACCTGTCCCTCCTGGTATTCCCCACCACGACCACCTCTGCACAGCCTCAACAAGAGAATGGAATCAGTGCCCTTATCACGAGTAAACAAAGTTAATGTTTTATTAACATTGACACCAAGTTCCCAGTCAGTGCCAGGCAAACCTAACACAGATCAAGCTGGTATGGTGTTTAAGAAGTCCGGTGTAAAGCCAAGCCTGGCTTGCCAAGGTGTACTGGCACAAAGGTCTGCTAAGGGCACCATTTCCAAGGGATACCATCTCAGCCTGGATCTAACCTTTTAGGTATGGTGCTCCAGAAGTAGCCTTCAAGCTTTTTACTCAAGCTTGATAACTGTGCAAACCACTGGGAGAGGAAGGGGCTTCACCTCCCTCTTTGTACATATAAATCAGTTGTGCCTAGTCACAGCAGGGTGGCTCTTGCAGGGTGGCTTCTTGTGCCACACCATAGACTCCTGCACAACCTTCCCTCTTGGCTGTCCTTCCCTTCTGTGGCCAGCCCAAGGTCAGCGATGCAGCCATTAAATTCCAGCCAAGGAAAGCAAACATCAGTCCCCCTTCGAGCAGTTCTGGGTACATTAAATACAGCAAAAGGTTCTGGAAGAAGGGATTGGCACAGCCATGGGACCAGGGCTGGCTGCAGTGGCCATGAGGCCAGGGTATCAGGGCAGCGATGGACGCTGATGGGCAGCCCTGCATGTGTGGGTGAGGAAAGCAGGCATTGGATGAATCCTGATGGATTATAAAGCAAGAGGGAGCTTAGACCAAAACCCCCTCTGTGGAACCATGAAGAGTTGTCCACTGGTCAGTAACAAGTGTCCTGACAAATTACCGTGCTGTCCAGGAACCCTTCAACAGAGCCCATAGAATAGCCGTTGCTCCATCCTACCTTCAGCTCTGTGCTCCAACATTTTCCCCTCATGCTCTTCTAGCAGGTTTCTCATCCCCTCTTGCCCCCCATGTTTGCTGCACAACACCCCCCCACCCCAACACACACCAGGCGTCAGTGCCCTTTCATCACAGCTTTTCACCTCCAGTATTTCATTCACCTCACCTTGCAGGAGATGAGCGAGGTTCCTTTGGCCTCCTGTGCAATTCAGTGAGTAAATAAAGGTGTTTTGTCAGCTCCGTGCAGCCAGATTTCACTCTTTGTTCTAGAAGGAAAAAAAAAAGGAAAAAAAAGGAAGAAAATCCACCATTACAAATCATTGCTTTTTTAATCAAACTTCTCCTCTAGTCTTTCAGAGGAAACACCAAGTTCCGAGTTAGTTTGTTTGCAAGGTGGTGGAAAATCCCCAGCTTCCCAATGGGAAATTTCTACACTCAGAACTCATGCATATAAGAAGGCACTGTTCTTGATGGCCCTTCTCTCCTCATGGTCTCTGCTGCTGTGAAGCTGAAGAGGGACAGGAGACAAGTCTATGGTGACATGGCTGTGCCTGGCTTGGGAGCAGGCTGCCCATATACATGGCATGCAGCATGTGTCCCTGTGTCCCTTCTGGGCCCCTCATGCTGCCACTGTGGTCTCACCAAAGACATAAACAATATTTTTGCATGCTTTTCCAGGCTTGCAGATAGCTTCCAAAAGTAGTTGCATACTCAAGTAATTACTTATTTCTAACTAATCCCATTTCCTAAATTATATTTAGACATCATGTAAATGAAATCCAGTTTTTAACAAAAATATCCTCTGCAATTATCTGAATAGTGTTGAATAGGATGAGCCTGTTTACAAGCACCAAGCAACTGCCACACACAGTTGGCTGGTGGCAACAATGACACCACCTCCACAAGTAAGTCTGGTCTTTAAGTTCAGTGCTGGCTCAAAAGTCCTGGTGAGTTCATCAATGAAATGCAAGTTTTTCAGCTCATATGTGCTGATGTATCACACTCTGTCCAAATGCAGAGTGATACATCTGACATTTTCATTAACAATTTGCAACACAGGAGGAGAAATCTAAGAGACAAACTATCTTAATATAACCGCCTACTGTTATACGACTTTGTTTTTCTTACTTCTGTATTTGATGTAAATGCATTTTTGTAATTTATTTGTTTTAATATATAATAATGTATTTAAGTTGTGTAGCAGTTGAAATAATGTATTATACAGTAAGAATATAATAAAATTATATTATTCTATTTGCACTTTTATATTAATGTGGTAATGCATTTATCTAATTTGTATTTTTGGAGCTTCTAGTCAGAACATATTTTCAGCTGTAATATTCTCCTGCTTTATTCTTACCTTCAGTGTAGATACTGCTGTTAACTTGACATATTTGCATTTTCATTTTTCACTGATCTTTACTATCTCCAGTTTAGAAATAAAGCAAAATAATTTAAATCACCCACTTAAATCATCTAGCTTCCCTACTCTTGCCTAATATAGCTGGCAGGGTTGAATCTAGGTTAGCAGATTATGTGCAGGTTACGGCAGCATAAAAAGCAGCCAGGCTCTTCCTCCTTCTTTTGAAATCTGGCTTTCCTTTCCTTCATCCAACATTTTCCTGCCTGTTCTGTGATACACAAATCCAGAGATATTTCTTTGACCCTGTTGGGATGAAAGAACTTGGTGCTGCTCCTCTCCCATTGCCCATGTGGTCCCGTTGAGCTGCCCTGTGCCTTTCTCCCCCTCCCGCACATGACTCTGCCCTCCTGGTTTTATGGTCTCCTTCACGCTGTGCAGCCACACCTGGGCGAGTGCTGCTGAACTCAGCAGAGTTTTAGATTCCCCAGCCAATGATAGATGGGAACGAATGGGATATAATATAAGAGAGAAGAGCACATGAAATCCTTAACCTCAGTTTCACCAGAGGACATTCTCCTTGATTTCAAGAAGCTCCACTTCACCTCCTGTACAGACACTTGCACCCTGCTGATTTCTACATCATCTTCACTGTGTGAAAGCAGAAGCAACAACATTTTCCTTTTAAACATAATTTGGGATTTAATTGCATTATTAATAACTAATTTGTTGTTTAGCTTCAGTTGCCTGCTGAAGTCTGTGTATGGTCAAATTATCACCTTTCTGCAAGCTGTGCAGAAACCACTCTTTCTTCAAAAAGCCTCTCACTTCACATCTCACCAAGTCCAGTCCCCTCCATCAGATTCACCCAAACAGCTCCTGCTCAGCACAGGAAAAGTTAAATCCTGTTCAAGACCTGCTACGGGTCCCCCCCGCTCTTCTCCCTAATCTTTTCACATCTCTGTTCCCATTTCCAAAACTGCTATGTGGGATCCTCTATAAAACTTTTAACCTCTGGGCATCTGTTTCATTTTCATGATTTTCAGGCCACTGCCCAGTCTCCCTGTCTTATTTTAACTTTTAAGAAAAACCCCACATTTGTCTTGAATATCAGTTAGCTCATGGTGTAATGACTGAAAGTACCTTTATGTTCATCCTCCTTTCTTTTCTATGGGAAATACAAATTAGTTAACTGTCTGTAAATCTTATTTTTCTTTTACTTGGCCTGACTCCTAACTCATTATCTGAGAATAAATCACTCCAAATTGGTGGTTATTATGCTAAACTATCATGCTGCCTAACCTGAGGCAAAAAGCCCACAATAAAACTCTGTTCAGAAACTCTGCATTATTTAGTTGACAGAATAATCTTGCCATATTACTCCAGCTGACAGTTCTATTACAGCTGTTTCAATGTTCAAATAATCCAAAGTTTCTCAGCTAACCTTATATGTGTGCACATTTCAAAGACTTTGCCCCCATCAAGAGTCCTGTGAAGTGAGTATAAGGCAGGGCACACCAACATACCTGGTTAAATAGGATGAAACCCTGGTCCTGGGGAGTTCACCAGGCAATTTTTGAGGTTTTTGGGATTCAATAAGAAAGTAAGAGCATTAGCAAACAACTTTGACAAGCAGCAAGAACACAGCGAGCCTGGGAGGGCTAACACCCAGGCTCCCCTTGCAGCTGGGGCATTTAGAGAGCTCATCAGCTCTGTCACTTGCAGGGCACCCTTTGGTTTTCTGTGTATCTGGGGAGCTGCTGGGTATACTTTTCAGTCTTGCTCCTCTGTACACAGAGTGAACTCAGGGTTGGGCATCTGCCTCTGAATGCCCCAGAGCCTTTGGTTTAAAGCAGATAGAAAAGGGGGTTAAATGGCTCCTGTACATTCTCTGCTCCACCTCATCACATATCTGTATGGCGATGGCAAAACTTTTATTATGCACACTCCAAAGCTGAGTTAGCATTGTCAGAGATCACCTGAAAACATTCCCCACAGAAAACAGAAAAACATTGATCTTATTTCCCCAGCTGTACAACGTGGCAAACACTGGGAAAACCTGGTGCTTTTTGCCCCCCACTAACTCCCACTAAAATACTTTATATCCCAACAACTGTCTGCAGGTTGTAGTGGGAGAACTCTATCCAGCAATTCCACGTTAATTGGAAAAAACAAAAAGAAAAGAAAACCCAGGGAGAAACAAGCTCTCCTTTACTTTATCTGCTCTGATAACAGCTATTACAGCTGACCTGCTAAGGCCATCAACAGAAAGGAGAAGGGCATTTGATTGGAACTAACTTTCCCCTGCCAGCCTCAATGGCAGCGTTATCAACACCCTTTATAAAGAATTGTATCTGCAGCAGGTTGACAGGAGTGAGCAGGGGCTTTCATTGGCACAGGAAACAAACTTGGTGACCTTCAGTGGAGAAGAAGGTATAAAACCCAAAGTTTCTTGGTTGGCTGTCTTCTGGGCACCGGTTGAATTTCTTAGTTTCAAAGGAGGACACATTTTTGGGAACTTCTGCGAGAAAATGGCAACTTTAAATGAAAAGAAGACCTGCAGTGAACGGATGGAAAATTTCCGTCGTTTTGTCTGGAATCCAGAAACAAAGCTCTTCATGGGAAGGTCCTTAATTAACTGGGGTAGGTTTTCACATATAAGGGTATTTTCTTCCTTGTAGTATATTTAAAAACCATGTAGGGAGGTGTCATCCTAATGAGTGGGGCACAATGTAGATATGTTGAAGACATCAGTTGTCACATATAATTTTGAACCACTTTTTGGGTGGCTGGATCAACTGATAATAATAATAATAATAAGCTGATCAAAACATTGATCCAAGTAGTTCCTGCAAATGTAAGATGACTTGAAAGTGGTTTTAAACCAAGTACTCTGAAAGGCGAAAAATTAACATATTAACAGGTAACTTATTGATAGCTAAGGGTGACAGTTATAGTTGGGTTCTGATCTGCTAACTAAAAGGGGTTCACATAGTAGTACATGGGGAATTTTGCTTAATTGGTGGAGTTTGTCCAATTCTTTGTAAACAAGCTTTGTTTTTCTGAAATTCCTTTCTGAATTATTGTCTGCTTAGTAGATCTTGTTTCTTATCACTGTGTCTTAGTGTGTATTTCAGATGAGCCTCTCTTCCCATAGCCAAACTCTTCCCATAGTCAAACTGGTGTCTACAACCATGATGAATTTTATGATCTACATTCTGAGAAGGGCAGTCTGGACCATTGTAAGGAATATCCCTGTTCTTCCCACAAACTGTAAGAGTAGCTGCAAGTTTCCAGGTGATTTTTTTTCTGCCATGAAACCTGTGAGTGTAGCTTATTGGCCACTCCTAAAAACAGAATTTTACAGAAAATGTAACTGAAATGTGAGCCCTTCCAGTTGGTAGAGAGGAATGTACTATGAGGCGCCAATGAATGCAGGGGTGGGTTTCTAACAGCCCTCCCACAAAACAGCCACTGACTGCCTGTAGAGCATCAGCCATGTATAAGACACTTCATGCACATACAGACAGAAATACAACACTATTCTGCATCTCACACCAGAATAAAATAGCAAGATAACACATTTTGCTGATGGTGATTTCAGCTGTAAAAGGCAGTGAAGTGATATGGCTCTAAAATCAGCACACCCAAAACACTGACATCTGTCATCCAAATAACACAAGGAGCAACTTGATTTTGACACAGAAATACCTTGGCTGTGTCACCTAGTCCATGTGTAATAAGTAGATAAATGGTCTTAATATGTGAATTTACTTCAAGAAGCCACATAATATTTTAAGTTTTAAAAAATCTGAGCTCATCACCAACTACTTCAAAAATCCCTTTAAAACTGAACAATTTTTTCCTACAAAAATATTCTTTTGAGTGTAGAGAAAGTGATCCAAAAAACCTGTCCCTTTACAGGGAAAACCTCCCTGAGGCCAAGGGTGGAAAGAAGTCAGCTGCTGCTGCCAGGATGCTCCTGGCTGCAGAGGGATCACTGTGCCTCGCTCGAAAAATGAGATTTTGCTTTCATTTTTTTCCACAGTCTGGATCAGCCTCTACTACCTGGCTTTCTACGTGGTGATGTCAGGGCTGTTCGCACTCTCCATTTATTCTTTAATGAGGACAATTAATCCATATGAACCAGATTACCAAGACCAGCTGAAATCCCCAGGTATGGCTGTGTGGGGCTGGGCTGGGCTGAGAGGCACTGGCAGAGCCCAGGCATGAGGGGGGACCAATGTGGAATAAATCAGATCAATTCTGCCCAAATGATCCCTGCAAAGTTTAACCTCTGCCTGAAAACACTATCAGGCTTTAAAAAATATTGGCACATTTATTTAATTTATTAAGTATTAATTTATATATGAATATATATAGAACAAATAATATAATATACATGAGATAATATAGAAATATATATCATAAAATAAAATTTTATATATATACATTAATTTATTTAATCATACTACTGAGCTAATCGGTGCCTGCCTGTAGCAGTCACCTGCAAGAGGAGGAGGCTTTTGTGGGCTGTGGGGCACCTCCTGTACCCATGGGCAGGGATCAATCCCTGGAGAAAGCCTGGGTTCTGCTCCAACCCCACAAGCACCATGGAGGGTTGTGGGGTGCCTGCAAGATGGAGACGCGCTGGGGCAAGCAACCTGGGGTGGGTATTTCCATACTTGCCGGCACTACAGAAAGTCCCTGGGAGAGCAGGAATACCTTCCCAGCAGGATATGCTGTGCCAGCGGTCAAACAAGTAAAAATAAGACAAAGACTTGTGGCATTAGGAATAAAGATTTGTGGGACGTGAAAAGAGACAGGGGAGATGATCAGCAAGAGATCATCAGTGCATACTGCTAAAACTTCACACCCCAATGGCTTGTTTTCACAATGGGAGTGAAAAAATTACTTTTTAGAAGTTGTAGCCCTAAAAATTATTCTGTCAGATGTTGTATTTTGAAGTTTCCTCTCCCAGTATTCAGTAGGCTTGGTGTTTGCTAGCAAAATAATTCCTGTAAAATATTAAGTGTGGCTTTTTAAAAGCTGTTCCTCATGCTGCCGTATGATCTGTTTCTTTAACCTGATGTGACTGTTATTGTTAAGAAGTCTTGAGGAAATCCAGTGCATTTGCTAGAATGATTTTACAAGCTGTTCTTATAACAGGGTGGATATACATGAAAAGAAAATAGTTCAGCAGCACAAAGCCTTTAGAGTTTTGGTTGAAAAACTCACAGCCGAGGTGGTTTCTGTACATAGTTAAATCCTCCAACAAAGCCTGAGGATCTACTACACTGAGGATGAGTCTTGATGCAGCATTATCACTACTGTCAATTTAAACAAACAAATCTGTGCCTGGCAACTCTCTTCTGCTTTGTCTTCCCTTTTCTTCCCCCATGAAGGTGTAACATTACGACCTGACGTTTATGGGGATAGAGGACTACAAATTTATTATAATGTATCCAACAACAAAACCTGGGAAGGCTTAGTGACAACTCTTCACACTTTTCTGACAGGTAAAAATGAGGTTTTCTGCATAATAACAAAGAAATGTGCTGACCCATCTCCCATATTAGGTCTGAGAACCTTATGTCAGTGTCTCCATTTTACATTTGTCCTTGTCAAATCAGAGATTTTGAGTGAAGGTGTATCTTCTAAAAGGGATGAGCAAATCATCTCATGAATCTATAAATGTATAGATATGTAAACATTTCTATTAAAATGACAGTCCTGCTTCAGAGCTCTTACTTTGTTTCATCCCAAATGGCCTCTATAAAACAGGCCAATAGAAAGTTGAGGGAAGGGGGGGGACAAAAGTTCCTCAAAACTAATCTCATCTAAATTAATTTATTAATTCATCTGTGACTACAAACATCAAAGTGCCATAATAAGTCAGTAAAGCCATTGTATGGTGCCATCAGAGAGTACAGTCAAAGTAGGTTAGGTGCCCCATTTGCCTGTTAATATCTTAGCACATTTATATTCTTTTTGAGTTAATATTAAGTATTGTAATTCTGCATATTTCTCACTCACATACTAAAAAAAATTATATTTGAAACTGACTTTATATGGATCTATCAACACAAATTGCCAGTCAACTCAATTTGATCTCCTCTTTTTTTTCTTTTGTTGGATATTCTAAAAAAAAAAACCTGACCCAAACCCCCAAACGGTTTAAAGTTTCTTCATTCTGTCTAATCCCAATTTCACTTGAAGTACATTCTGCCATGATAAAACCTCCAGCCTGATGTTGGAATCTATAATTTGCATATGAAAAACTTCAGAGGGAAATTTTTCTTTCTTCCTTCACACATCTAGAGTATACGCCAGCTGCTCAGCATCTGAACATCAACTGTACCAATAACACATACTTCATCCAGGACACCTTTGATGGCCCGAACAAAACAAAACTATCCTGCAAATTTACCTCAGATATGCTTCAAAACTGCTCTGGCATCACTGATCCAACTTTTGGATTTCCAGAAGGGAAACCCTGTTTTATTATAAAAATGAACAGGGTAAGTACAAGCTCAGAGTGCCAAGCAGGAAAGAATTCATTGAGAGTAACTGGAATCTCCACTGAGGAGCTGCTGCCATGGGTTCTAAACTCTGCTTTGTACTGGGAATAAAAATCGTGTGCTTTTCCCTGACAGACCTCCGGAGTTTCTAGAGAAATCCTGAGATTTGTTCACCACCCTAGGAAAGTAACAGGGCAGTGATCTCTGAACTGACTCTCTACATCTTTGGCTTTAATTTTGTTAATGTCTCTGCAGGGCTCTCCTCCCACAAACTAGCACACAAAACAGTTTCCTCCTGCAATATTACAGTCCTGTGCCTTCAGCTGAGACATTAGGATGTGATAGTAACTGAAGTGGGTTCAGAAAGGTGATACCTTATTTCTCCAGGCTGCAAAGAAAATCTTTAGCAGAACCTGTAAAAACAAAATTTAAACCTGGTGGATATTGTTCTCAGGAAAAACCACCAACACATGTTTTTTGGAGAGGAAAAAGGGAGTTTTCTATGCATCCTTTTTTTCAGGACATAGACAAAGGTATAAGCATTTGATATTTGTTTTGGGGTAAAATCCTGAACCTTCTAATTCAGTTTCAGTAGAAAGTGAAGAGCTCAGACTCCCCTCCACTTCCTGATAGACAAAATTACTTGATTTTTGGTTTGGGTTCCACCTTAGACATTTTCAAGAATCTGTGCAAGCCCCAACTGTGAGAGAAGAGCTTTGCCCCTGATTTTGGCAGGTGAAACACAAGCTTTTGCCCAAAATGTCTCCTTCAGCAAGCCTGGGTGCCAGCCTCAGCAGGGAAAAGATGGATGAATAGTGACCGGGGGAATTTCACCTCCTTTCGCCTTTGCTGCTACAGGATGTGACCCCACTAGTTTTGTAGGATCAAACCAGCACAAGGTTTTTTTGCCAAAACCAAGTTTTTCTAAGAAGGTTAAGATTAAAAGCATGGAGATTCAGCTTTTCCTTTCTTGACACATAATCAGCTGTTTTAATAGACCCCTGGCTGCCTGGACATCAGCAAGGGCAAGTGGGACCTGTGGGTAGACGAGCTGGACTTGGAGGAGGTGTAGTGCTACCTGCCCCGGCCAGGCTGGAGCCCATCTGCAGTGCCCATCCTGAGCAGCACCAAGGCCTGCTTCCTAAGTATCCAACCACAGCAGTTTTTCACCCAGGTATACAAGATGAGATGATCTGTTTGACAGAACCTTATGCAGAAACACATAAAGCATCCTTTGAAGCTCAGGTCTCAATTGTTTGCTCAGTTTTATCTCAAAACAATTTCTAAGATGACCAAATGTGTGTTTTCTATTTCAGATTATTAAGTTTTTCCCTGGCAATGGCACTGCACCAAGAGTGAACTGCACATATGTGGTAAGGGTATGAAGTTAGAGTCTCACACATTTCAAGCACTGCAGCTCTGAGAGCAAGAGAACTGCAGTTGTGACCAGAGAGATTACTCTTGCAGCTCTGAAAATCAGATGCCAAATACTGAGAATATTCTCAATTCTGTGCAATTTCTTGCACCAGCAGACATGCTAAAAAAATAAAAAAGTTTGCTTTATTTTAAATCACCTGAAAAATAGTTCTCCTGTGCTGCAGAGAACATGAGCTGTTTGCTTTCAGCTCCCCACAGTAAATTCACACCTCAGCACAGCTCCCTCAGGCTCTCCCCCCATTTCAGCAGGTTCAACTTACTGAATTCCCAACTGCTATCAAAGAACACTTGCCTGCTTTTCTTGGCAATAGTAACAGCTGGAGATTCCCACTTCTATTTGAAAAATAAAAATAAGACCGGTGCTAAACAGACTGCTGAACTCAAGCTTTAATACACACTTAGCAGCAGTGAAACATTCACCCAGGGCTGGTTGACAATTTCCTCACCAATGAAGCATCTTCCTTTCTTATTTTACAAAACAGGGTGAGGAGTCTCACACGCTGGAGGTGGACTACTACCCTGTGAATGGTACCTTCAACCTGCACTACTTCCCCTACTATGGGAAAAAGGCTCAGGTGGGTGCTTTATGTATTTAAATATAATTTTCTTCTTTCTCTTTGTGTAAGGTGAAACATATGGAGCATCTCTGTAATCCTACAAGAACTCAAGAAAAGGCTATTTTTAAGACTTTGTTTTTAAACTGGTAGTGTAAAATTATTTTCTTTTCTTTCCCCCCCTCCTAGCCCAGCTACAGCAATCCTCTGGTAGCTGTAAAATTTCTCAACATCACACGGAATACAGAACTTAAAATAGTGTGCAAAATCATTGGAGCTGGAATTACCTTTGATAATGTTCATGATCCATATGAAGGAAAAGTGGAATTTAAATTGAAAATAGAAGACTGAGCAGCAAGAGAGACACTTCTGGAAAACGTGTTTAGGGCAAACTTAACTATTACCGCATTAATCCATATTTATTTTTTCACTATGGTTCCCGTACAAATTCCAGTGCAAAGAGACATTTTCTACTGCAAGATGACTGTACAGCTAAAAATCAAGATACCACTCCCAGTGTGTGAAGGAGATGAGGATTACCTCTATGTACATAGCTTAATATTCCATGGCTACAGTATGCTACTGCCTTCATGCAAGTATCTGTACAAAGCAAGTTTCCCCCAAAGTGTGCAGCTGTGCCTTCGATGAAAATAAGTACAGAATCATTCATTTCCAATCACTTTTCAAACCATAATAAATAACTGATGCATGATACTAAACCTTGGATATTGAGAAATAATTAGATAGCTAGAAAAAGAAATCAATACTTTGAAATACTAGCAAGTAATAAAATTCTCAATCTTTTATAGGTCATATAAATCATAAAAGTATATTAAAATTATCTATATCCCAATGCATTGGCTTTTTGTACTAGTCAGATGAGTCAGATTTTTTTAGTTGACAAAGCAATCACTGCAAAAGAAGCAAACTTGAAATCTGTCCTCTAGCTTACAGATTTCATTGTACCACTTACCTCTATGTATATAACCTAATAAAAGTGACTGGTAAGACTCTTAACACCTAGTTACATCCAAGAAACAGTTCATCTAACTATTACACGTTGTTATATGTTTGGTGTTTCTGTTCATTTGGTGTTTTGTTGTTGGTTTCGTGTTTATTGTTTTTGTGGTGGTTTTGTTTGTTTTCTCCAGTAGAATAGCTCCATATTGCATTGACGAGTTTTGGGTTACTTGCAGTAACCTGGAAGATGCTGAAGTAGCACTAAATTTTTAAGTGAATCTAAAATTTGACAAATCTAACTCTATCACTTATGATACAAAGACACAAGATTGCATAAATATAGTCTGTGTCCTATGTTTATGTTAGCTAAGTCCAGGATGCTTTAGCCAGAGAAAAAACACTGCACAGAAAAAAAAGATATTCAAGAAATCATTTTGCACTTTCACTGCCTGGACATTTTAGGAAGCAAGAAGGTGTAACAGATCAACCTTCTTTCCTACAGCAACATTCAGGCAGTCAGCTTGCAGACAGAATCCGGATGGAGGGGAATATTTCCTCTTCAAAACCACAAATGGCATTTGAGCCTTTCTTAGAAAAATTCTGCATTTCAAAACCAGTAGGAAAATCCGTCCTCATATACAAACTTTTTTTTCCTCTAGTCTTTCCTGTTTCAATTTTTACTTTGAAGAACTTTGCCTTTCTTCTAAGAGACAATGAAAATCAATTTTATATCCTTCTCAGAACACAGGTCTCCCACTGCACATCTTTCCAAAATAACATGGAAAACAATAAAACACTTTTGATAACAAAATAGTAACTCATGTTCAAGGTTAATGCAAGATTGTCTATAAACAGACCATTTAAATATTATCAAGAAACCCCAGCACTCTTCCCTTCATGTTCTAACAGGCAGATTCTCTGCTTGACTGTATTTAGCATCTACAGTTCACACATTTGAGCCAGGCAATGCAGTGGCACAAGCTCACATTCCAGTTAGCCTTACAACCAGAGCACTGGAAGACACTGAACAAGCTTCCCATGAACTGTGTGCCTGCAAAGACAAAGCTTCAGAAGGACAGCCTAGACCAGCTTCACAAAAACACCTCAGACGGGATAAATACGTAAAAAGACTGAAGCATCCCTGTTTTGACTGAAGGACGATGTATTCTGAGGTTAAAAAAAAGGGTATGCAGGTCCACCAGATCTGGTTCTCTACGTACAAAGATTGTCATCCTGAATTTAGATGTTTCTTGGACTTTTAACCATCTGAGGTTATTCTCTTTCTTTACCAGAACAAGAAATAACAAAAAAGCACAAGGTTTGAGGCTAATGTAGCTGAAATAGAAAAGCCCTAAGTGTGTTAATCTGTGTGTAGTTAGTATTAGTTTGCCCAAACCCCAAATGTAAGCACATTTAAATAGAAGAACAACCATAATACAAATATTTTGTAATACTGCATGTCATGTAATAAGTAATGAAACCACCAAAGCAACAAAGACAGGCTTGCATAGCTGCACTTTGGAGACATCCAAGTGACAGAAGTTACAAGATAAAGACCAAAATAAGCCCAGGGGAAGGAAAATGGGCAGGGCATCCTGCCCAAGGCACAAGAAGCATGACTGGCAAAGGCAAAAAACAAGCCAAAAAGCAGCTGAATCCAGGAGGAGAAGGCAAGAAGCAGAAAATACCAATGAGGAAGAAATGAAGACACACTTCCTCTGGTCTAACCTCTCCAGCCTGATGACGTTCACCCTGGAGATTGACAAGGACTTGGCCATCAGTGCCAGCTGCACAGCAGCAGCTAAAAGTTACTGTGTTGTCACAGTTAATTCAGTGTATGAACATTACAGACTAACAGTTCTATATACAGAGCAATAATAATTATTAATACGCAAGACCTAACCATTTAGCAAAGTGTGTTGTTAAGGAATTAAACTGTTTTGTTTTCCAGTTCAAAACCGGCCACATTTATCAGTCTTTTAAGCGTTCTTATTGCAAGTCTCCAATTCCTTAAGAGACAGATACACACGTATTCAAGAACATATATATATATACACATATGCATTAGATATATCAGATGTATTAGTATACATAGTTTATACATAAATTCAGTTGCAACATTAGCAATAGATCAAATACTAGCAATTAAGACCAAACAATATAAATGGGAAAAAAGTTGGGATACATGGGAAACAGCAGATTTAAGAATGAAATGCAAGTACAAAAAAATTACTGAGTTTAATGAGATGCTGATCAACTAGGACATCCAAAAGGAACGGGCAGTTAGTCGATGTTTCTGGAGCAGCAAAGGGGCCAGACAGGCATTATCAAGAGACAACAGGGTGTCTGTCGGTGCCAGACCTGTTGTTCCTGTCAGCTGTGAAGCAGTGAGGTTAGCCAGAGGAAGAGGTACAGGGAAGGCAGTAATATGGCATGAAACTAATATTATTGATGTCATGTTTTTTTGTATCCAATAAATTTTAGTTTCCAGACATGCATTGAAGGTATTATAAACTCTTGAAAATCAGTGCAGAGAGAACGGAAACACAGCAGTTGCTTTGAGATATATTTTCCTCTCCATACCTCTGCCTATTCCTATGAATAGTCATGGGACTAGTAAAGCCAATAACTTAAGTGTAAAGTCCTAATGTCTATTATTAAAAATTATGAATAAAAATTAACAGAGTGCAGAAAAACAAAGAATACAAGCTCCTTGAAGCTTAAAGGATTTTGTGCTATGAGATTACAGCAAGTTCAAACCTTTGCCCTCTACCTTTCAGAATTGCAAAGTAGATATTAATAATTGAGTCTTTGCTTAATGACCTCACATGATGTCATTGCTATTGCACTTGGGAATTCCTCTCATCATTTCACAGAGCTGTTTTTAATCTCTTACCTGTAATAAAAGTCAGGTAGAGATTGATTCTGCAACAAATAAAGTCATCTAACCACGTGCTACCTTCAGTAATTGAATGTAGAATAACAGCTGCATCGATAATGCTAGCAGAAAGTATTTATAAACTCCCTTCACAAGCTTTTTCCTTCAGACATAAAAACTCAAGCTCAAACAAGATCATTTTGTTTAATGTAAAATGAATATGTACATGACAGGTGTCCTTCAATTTAACTTGAAAAACTCTCTTACTAGGGACAGTGTTCACTCTTCTCCCTATTTTTTTTCCTCTATACCAGAATGATAATATAATGGGAAGTTCTGTGTTCCATTGTTAACAGCAGAAATTGGGCTGAAAATTCCCTTTTTAGGGAATACCCTCACTTGGTATAAAATGAGAAAGAACTGAATTCTGGAGAGACACTTGGGATAACACCTCCATTCATTAATGCATGCATTTATGTGTAGTCCTACTGTCACCAGTGTGGCAATTCCAGCATTCCAATAAAAATCTTCCAGGGGCTTACTGCTATCATCAATTACATAACCCATCTTAATTATTCTGATTTCAAGTTCTAGTTCTTAAACCTTGTGTCACTTTTCTCTCAGACATTGATGAGCCTGTTGAAATGGTATCTTTTTGCTTGACCTGACACAAATCCATTTATTTCTCCTTTTTTTCCCCCCATTAAATAAACCAAAACAGAGTTCCTTAAGTTTCTTACTAATAGAGCTTGACCTTAGGTACCAAATAATTGGGGGAGGGGATTTTTCTCTGTGTCTTTCCAAATTTTTAGGATCCTACATTTTCAGCGTATAGTCTTCCCTCGTATAAGTGTACCTTGAGTTCTTTGTTCTAAAGATGTGCAGTTTAACCATAACGGTTTTTGAACATGCCCTGCTTGCCAAGCAATCCACCTTAATCTGTCCTCTTCATTGTTTACTTCTTTTCTAAGCAGTATTACTTAAAAATATATTTTTTATTTTCTTCTGGGTTATTGAAGAAATTCTTAAACAAAAGTACAATCTTACTTGATGCAGCTGGTGAGGCAGTGATAATGCCACAATAACGTTTCAGCAGTAAACAGTTCATAACCCTTTAACATACAATCTGTTGGCATTGTAAAACATATATTTAAAATGAGAATGCAATGAAATAAAAGAAGCTTAAAGATGCTGAAACATAACCATCACTTCCTTAATCAGCTAAAAATCTGCAATCTCCTCCCATATTCATTTGGTAACACATACTCTATACTTCGTCATTAATAATTAACCTTCGAAGCTTCTAATTTTCTTTTAGCTGTTTCCTTCAACAGTTTTTCTAATACAAGATTCAGGGCTGATCTCAAGCTGTCTAGACCACATTTGGACAGGACTTTCTCACACCTTTGACACTTTTTATTTTTTCCTACTTTAAAAAGTGGCATTCTAGCATTATTTTAGTCTGTCAGAAGTTACTATTTCAAGGTTCATTAAAAATCAGCATCTAAAGTGT